CACACTCTCCCTGGCCCGAGTTAACAGCTCTGGAGTGGTAGAGGTCTCCTGATGACCAAGGGAGGCCCTACCCCACCACTGAAATGATCTTGCAGAAGTTTCCCCTTGACAGCCCTGCATAGGACAAGAGTTTAACAGAGTGACCCCAGCAGATGTCCTCTCAGATTAGCACCTGGGCCACAGCAGCAGGATGAGTCATTCCTCCCCAGCCTTCCCTTCCTTTTCTATCAGCAAAAATCTGGAGAGAGAAATCATTGCAAATGACATCACTTCTCTGAAGTGCTTCCCAAGTCTTCCTGGCTACTCTCATCTCTTTCCTCACAACTTTGAGCATGTCTCTATTATAGGACATGTGAACACTTCCCTTCCCCTGAGGCTGTGACCCCTGGAAAGCAGAGTCTCAGTTCTCTCTGTCACTCAATAAGCCCAGTGCTGGACATACAGAGTGATAAGATGAACAAATGAAAGAAACCTGGAACAGAGGCACCCCAACCGTCTCCTTTTCTGCGTGACTTGGACGACTGAATTCATTCCGTCTAACCTAACCTGTAAACTTATGTCAGAATCCTGGTTAATGGCAGGACATGGCAGCTTCTTCAGTTACATCTCCCAATCACTAACTCAGAAAAATTACTTGGTTCGCCAACCACACAGGGACAAGTTTATAGAGATTCTAAATCAATGGCCCTAATGTGACTCAGACATGACATAGTGCTGAAGGCTGTAAGACTCCATCTCCACCCACGCCTGGCTCTTCTCTTCTGCCCATGACAGGTCGGGATGAACAAAGAGGAAGGAAGTGACACATAATGAAGGCCAGAGAGGAAACCTACCAGAAAGCGCTAACAGGGCTCACATCAGACAAGGCCAAAGAGCCAGAGAAAACTGAAGAATTCATTCGCACTCCACAGTTGACACAGTGACGGAGAACCTCAGGCTCACTTTACAGAAGAAGAAACTGAGGCCCGGAGAAGGTGAGTGTCTTGAGAGAGATCACGTTAGTCAGTGGAGAGCCTGATCTCAAATCCAAGAGCTTTTGCACTATGCCAAGGTCACTGGCTGTAACTCACCGCAAAGGTCAGTAAAAATAGCCAGTGATCTTGTCTTATTTCAAATAGCTTCTTAAAATAATTTGCTTCATTTCAAAGAGTATTTTCTGCCCAAGGGAACGAAAATAAAAGTGATGTCAAGTGTGTAGAGAAACTAGCCCTCTCATGCACTGCTGATGGGGATTATAAATAGGTAGAACCTTTTGGGAGTAAAATTTGGCCATGTTAAAACTACTATAAAATGTGCATATCCTTGAATGTAGCAGTTCCACTGAAATGGTTGTACATGTGCAAAAGAGATCTACAAGGATGTTACTCTTAGTACTATTTACAATATCAAAAAGTTAGAAGCAACCTAAATCATTGTGGTTAAAAATATTAAGGTAAATTCATATGGTGGAGTACCATGTAATTAATATGAAGAATGGCCTATAAAATGGCTATCCTTAATTTTATTGATAAGATTTTTAACGTAATGTACATATGTGTGAAAGAGAGTATATATGTATATGTATATCGTTCCTATAAGAATTAAACAAATTATTACTTATAAAGCACTTAGAATAGTACCTGGCAAGTAGTAAACATTAGGAAAAATTTACCTACCAAAATGTGATGGTATATACATGAAGCAATACAGGAGGTTATAAACTAAGTGGTAACCACTGGCTCTTTCTGGGAGGTGGGATTATGTGAGGTTCTTTTTCTTTCAATAAATTTCTGTGTTGTTTGAATATTTTAAAATAATTTTTATAATAAAAATGTAATAAGGATATGCTTTCTATAAAATAAAGAAAACCATATTATTCAGAAGAGAACATCTTCCATGTGCACAGAATTCAGTTTAGGAATACTAAGCATTTCAAATCCACATGATGGACCAACTAGTTAGCAATTATTAGATTTCTGGCAGTGTTAACCCGTTCAGAGGATGCGAGGAGGTGGAAGGAAGAGAAAACAATGTCAAAAATGTTGAAAAAAGCAGGTAATTCCTCTCCCCTGAAAAATCTGTGATTCTGGTCTGAAGCCCAGAGCCACCCGGAGCCAGCAGAGGAAGGGACCAGCCTCGGGGTGTCCGGCGCCCCCGCTGACGCTGAGCTGGCCGCTGCCCGCAGGGGTGAGGGTCAGCACAGGAGACCGACCCAGGGACCAGGGATGACAACCAGCAGGTTCTCCTACGCGCCGAGGCTCCGCAGGCGCCCAAGATTAGTCCTTAGGGAAAGCACCAGGCTACGGTGCTGTACAAAGAAGGTTCAGTTCTGGTTTTGTGGGTCATCTGTGCACTTGGCCGCCTCATGGGACGAGCTAATGAATTTGGGGTGAGCCCTGTGTTTCCGGCTGTGAAGTCTGACTGTTCTTCTGTCTCCCATCTCAGGTGACTGTTCCCTATAATCAGAACTAAATTTAGAGATGTTGGCAAGACGGGACTTGCACATTTGGACATGATTTCAAGGGAAATCCTTTAGCATTTCCCCACAAAGTATAACATGCTCCGGGGCTTTACAAAAATTGTCCATTACAATTTCCTTTTGAAAATTGGGACTGAGCCCGGCCAGGTGGGGCTCAGCGGTTGAGGGTCGACCCAGGATCCAGGAGATCGCGGTTCGATTCCCGGTCAGGGCACATGCCCGGACTGCGGGCTGGACCCCCAGTCGGGGGCGTGCAGGAGGCAGCCGATCAAGGACTCTCTCATCATTGATGTTTCTCTCTCTCTCCCCCTATCCTTTCCTCTCTCTCAAATCAATAAAGATATATTTAAAAAAATAAAAATAAAAATTGGGACTGAGTGTTAGAATATTTTTGTCACTTATTAACAGAATAGTGAATTTCTCACCTAACTCACTGATGTGACTAGATCAAATGGTAGGCGTGGAATTCCTGGGTCAACAGGTTACATATAAAAATCCATGAGGTGGTCCACCTAAGAGTGGAATGCCAGGACAAATGCCATCAGGGCCTGACTGACACACAGGAAACCTTTGACGACGGACAGGTGATGAGATTATATTGAGGATATAACCTCATCTGAAAGTGGTCCACACCTCAACTACAGCAGCAGTAGCCACACTGAACTGCAATTTACCTGCTCATAAGTATGTCTCTCAAGACTTCTCAAGGTGAAGGACACTCTCTTATGCACCCGAAAACCTGCTGTCTTACACATGGCCAGGTGGTTGAGTTATTTCTGTCCCCTTGTCACATACTATATTTTGCGGGTAAACTGGCTACCTCATAAGCTGCGACTAAGATCCAATGCAAGAGAGAACATAGGACCACAAAGAAAGGAGGGGAAATACAACAATTGCACTGCCTTTTTACCCCAGGATGGTGGAGGAGTTTTAGTATAAACAGCATCCAGGCCTGCCCCCAAACCTGCTTTATCCCAGCTCCCGTGCACGTGGAATCACTGTCAGTTATTTTTATCACTCAGAATCCTTAACAAGACTTTGTGAGCATCTGAGCTCACCAAACATTCTCCCATGCGTTACCCCACTGGATCTCAGGTGAACCAAATCGTAGGTTTTTATATATGTGCTTACACACACATACACACAGACACAAATATATGGTGAAAGTTCTGAAGGGTACCCATAGGACAATTTATATTGGAATCCTTCAGGGAGCATATAAAAGAGAACTTTTATATGATATATACTTGTACCATTTTAAAAGCATATATTATTCCTGTAACTTAAACACACTTTTGAAAAGAAAACACTTTTAAAAAGAACACACTTGGGCATTGTGAAGAATCAGAGGGGAGAATTGGAGAGAGAAGAAAATGATTTGCTGGAGGCAGAAGCCAAGGGCTGGATCACAAAGAGCCTTGACTGGTTGAGACATCCCGGCTACAGCTTTACTGCTAGCTGCAGAGTTCCCAGTGCCTTGTCTGGGGTCTTCTGCCATGTGTCTCTGTCAGCCTTACAGAAATTTCCTGCCTATTCCTCTGGTGTTCTGGGAGGGGGGATATCCAGCTCCACTACCAAGCCATCCTGAGCTGGAGGGATGCGGGAGGGGTGTGTTCTGATTCATGCACAGTCGGAGGGCTGCCCAGGCTCCTGGAGCACTCTGGGGAGTGGGAGGCAGCTCTCCTGGGTCTCGGGAGAAGAAGGGCACACCCAGGACAAGCCCCAGGAAGCATCCACACCACCAGGTAGGAAATGCCTGTAAGACACCTGAGCATGTTCCCCCCATGCTTCTAGAGCATTTTGCCTGGGAGAAATGAAGGAGAGCTCTGCCTCGTACTGAAGAATCTTCTAAGCTGCCTCAGTTTTGACAATGGACAGGCAATGAGATTTCACCGATGTCTGAGACACATACTGAAGCAAGCAAACATGTTTCACTCTCTCGGGCAAGAGCCCTCACAAGGCTATTCACTTTTTATCTCCATCCTAAAAGCTCGGCGCTGTGTATAGTAAAAACTCACATCCTTTTTTGGTAGGGGTTCCGTCACCAGAGCACTAAGAGCAACACTGCCTACTCCTTATGTGTTGCCAAGATCCTCATTGAGCCAACCCACTTTTCTGACTCTTTTCAAAGGGTAAAGACTCCCCTGCAACTTCCCTCACATCACTTCTGATGGGCAAGAAGTTGATTAGCCGACAAAATGCACACCCCAAGAAGCCTGCCTTTCTGGAAAACCACCAACTGCATAGAGCATGTTCTATGAAAATTTATTTTTAAGTTGCAAGTCTACATTGCTTCTATCTGTAGCCAGGTTTCTTATAGGCCCCACCCAGACAAATACAGTTATTCTCGCTGGTAATGATGAATATAATAGTATTTCCCCACTTTATCAATGCCTCTGCTAACAGAGTTCCTGCCGGTCAGGTACGTCCTGTGACCCATGCCCACCACCCTATTAGCAACCCCGACCCCGACTAAACTCCCCCAAAGGAACTGGATCTGCTCTAAGAAATGACAAAAAGGACCCCGAAGAAGGCGACTCACCTTTCTCGTGGCTGCTTGGCGGAGGCGGTGGGGGTGGGGAGGTGACTGGTTTGGACTTGTCATAGTTGTTAAAGCTCTGGCTGCGTCGGTTGTTAGCAGCGGCTGACCCTCCGCGTGTTTTGGCGTCGCTGCCTGCAGCGGATACCCTTGCGGTAGGACCTGGGAGTCTAAAATGCAAAAGAACAGAGTAAAAGATGCAGTCTCAGGAGAACAGAAGCGTCTCAGGAGAAGGAACTGCAACCATGCAGGACGGAAAGAAACCATTCTAGACACTGGGTCTGAGGTCTGCTGGTCAAAGGATTTAGTGGAACCACTACAAACAACTAGGCTAAGTAAGGACCCAGTAAAGTCCAACAGCAAACCATGAGCAGTTTTCCTCTGAGCAAAGAAAGACACTTATAAGGAAAAGTCGATGAATATATTTGCTGACTAAAAATACAAAGCTCATCTTAAGTTTTTCTCTTGGATGCATACTTTTACTTTATAGTAGGGCCAAACCATGTCATCTCTAATCCTATCAAGTGTGGAACATAAAGGCCCATTAAGACTCCAAACTGTTGGCCTTGTGTGTGCATCTCTTCTGGTAGGGGTTGAAAATGGTGTTTGCCATAATCCAGACGTAGAAGTATCAAGAAAAAGGCAATTTATAATAATCAGGAAGGAAACTGCTACCACTCAGAACCCAACACATCTGCAAAGAAAACTTACAGTGTTCTTTGGAAACACTGTTCAGACATACATTTTCCTTCAACACCTGACAACCTGTCTCCATAGGCATTACTCTAGGGCTGAAACCCAGCTTCTCCGCACAGTAGATGGATAAAATCATATGTTCTTTCTGTAAAACCAGGAGGAATCTGTTAGCCTAAAGACATACACACTTTCCCTTTAAATAAAACACCTCATTTTGGGTGGTTTGGGAAATAAAGTCAGCAGACTTCTTTGTGATGTGTCTAAAGATATTATGACCCATTCCCCCAAAGAGTTAAGGGTAAGACCCGAAGTCAGAATTTTGGTTCAGGGACTACTAAGCAGGCTGTTTCCAATCATCAAAGCTGAAAGATGAATAAATGGTGGAATATTTAGTTATATCTTTCTGCTAAAACCCACTTAGCTATGTTTAAAAGCCACTGGAGCCTCAGCCGACTAGCATAAGATCTAGTGATAAGTCTGAATTTTCAACTCATAAAGCTTTCACAGCCTTCTCTTTCCATGCAAATTTGTAAGCACCAAAGAAGTCTGCAGTCTGGAAGCATTTTAGATATAAGCAGGCAGTCACTTTAAACTTTTTCTTGTTGGCCAAGCAAGAAAGATGGTTGTAGAGTAAACAGAGAACATGAGCTGGTGTGAGGACTGTAAATTTGTACAGTTAAGCAGCAGCTGGCCCGGTTCCTTGACTGGGAGCTAAGAGAGAAGGAAGGGGGTGAAGAAAGGGGGTGAGCTCTTCCCCCAAAGAGGCATCACTTCCCACTGTACTAGGAGGACTTGCCCCTCTGTCATGTATCCTGTCTTGTTTGGAGAAGATATTCAGCCACAAAGACAGGCACAGAGTGGGGTACAAGACCAGCAGTGCCAGTGCCAGTGCCTGTGTTTGGGAAACAGGTGGCCAGTATAACTGAATGAACAGGTACAGCAAAGGGATCTTGGTGCCTCCTGGTTCTGCTTCCAGTGCAAACAGCATCCTGCAAGTCGTCCATGCCAGTGCTATCTGAGTGGTCACAGCCAGTGGTAGAGCTTCTGTAGATACAGAGGTGGGGCTCCTTTGGGCTGGACTCTGTAGGAGTCTTTATGCCCAGAGAGGCCTGAAAAAGGATTATGGGCTTGTTCCAAGATGAGGTCACAGCAATGGTATTAAGTGGTGCCGGGTAACATGGGTTGCAGCATCCTACCCCAGTGGGGAATTTGAAAAAACAAGCAACAAGGAGGGAAAAGCTGCTATCATTTCAGAATTGCTGGAGAGTCCCCACTGCCCTGACTAGGGGCTGGACCATAGATTTTTCATGGCAGCACAGGGCCTTTATAGAGGCAAGAAATCAAAGTACTGGATGGGGTGGGTACAGCTTTGAGTTAGGTACGGAGTCCTGTCCTCTGTGAGCAAGTGTGGTAGAACAGACAGAATATGGGCTTTCTCCATCCCCATGACATCGGACTGGTCTTGTAAGCTCTCTGTGATTCGTGTTTCGTATCTGTAACTTTGGAATAATAATAAACTACCCAATGGGAATAGTTGTAAACTTGAAATGGGACAATGCCTGGCTGTTGTCAGGACTCAATGCATGTGGTTCCCCTGCCCATCCTCTCAGTTGAGCATTGATTCGTAAAGGAACTGGGCATTGCCATAAAGGAGACAAAGAAATAAATGAATCCGGGTTAAAGTATCAGAAGATAGCTAGACAAAATCATTGTAAAGAGTTTGAGATCAACATTTTCAATGAGCAAGATAGGCTCTGGCAGACAGGACTTGTCATATCCCTAAGTGACATTCCAGAGGAGAATCTGCTTCAGGTGTCTGATTGACTGAGACCTTATACTTGGGGTACCTCTGAGCCATCTGTGGGCCCCACTGCCCAAAGCCAAACATTCCTGGTTTGGATAATTAAGACAGCTCTGAGTTTCCTATGGGTGGTCATCTCCAGATTCTCCTCACTGAGTCAGGACCCAGAGGCGCTCCTTTGATGGGTGTGGCATATCCTTAGAATGGCTGCAGGTTGTGCCAAGTTTCCTGAGACATGGAGAAGGAGGTCTTGAAGGCCATGAGGGCAGATGACATGGCAAATAAAGGACTGACACATATTTAGCTAGCAAAAGCCACCAAAGCTCAGGCCAACGTGTTACTCTCTACCCATCACCACTACACTCTACTCAGGACAGCTCCCTGAGCTTGACCAAATGGAAAAACCGGATGAAAACCTAGTAAATTTCTTCCAATTTTCAAAGGAAATCTATGTCAACAATGAGCTTTAAAACTTGGGTTCTGGCCCTGGCTGGATGGTATGGCTCAGTTGGTTGCAGCAGCATCCTGTACACTAAAAGGTGGCGGGTTTGATTTCCAGTCAGGGCACATACCCAGGTTGAGGGTTCAATACCTGGTCAAGGTGCGTGTGGGAGGCAACCGACTGATGTTTCTCTCTCACATCAATGTCTCTCTCTCTCCCTCTCTCTCCCTCTCCTCCTCTCTCTAAAAATCAATAAAGGTATTTAAAAAACGACAGCAAAAAACTTGGGTTCTGCTGTGAATGGGTTTGGACAGTTGCTGAAATTTTTAGGAAAGTCCACTTCACACACAAAGGCTATGAATGAAGGTGTGCTGGGTGGAAAGTAAAGAAAACACTTAGTTAGATCTACCCACGAGGGAACCTAAACATTCTTTGGGATAGTGAGTCCATTTACAAACAGAATTAATTCAGACTGAATTAAAAGTACAGGACTTCAAATATAGGATTTCAAAGCCAAAGGTACCCATGAGAACCTAAGATACCTAAGCGATCATGGGGAGGGTACTAGACTTTCTACAAATTGAAGAGGGCTTTGCTATAGTCTGAATGATCATGTTCCCCAAAATTCGTATGTTGAAATCTAATGAGCAATGTGATGTTATTAAGAGATAGGTCCTTTGGGAGGTGACTAAGGTCATTAGGTAGAGCCCTCATGAATGACATTAATGCCCTTATCAAAGAGGATCCAGAAGAACTAGCTTGTCCCTAAGTCAGCAGTCTGCAACCTGGGGGAGGGCTTTCACCAGAACCCACCATGCTGGTGTCCTGATCTTGGACTTCTAGCCTCCAGTACTGCAAGCAGTACATTTCTATTATTTATAAGCTGCTCAGTCTGTGATATTTTGTAATGACAGCCCAACAGACTGAGACAGGGTTCTAGCTCAGTCTTATCTAGATCTTAAGGAGCTGACTGGCCCCAGCTGACATCTAAACTACATGCATATTGATAAAAGAATATGCAAAGTTCAGAAGCAACTTCAAGAAGGAAAATTATAACCTCGGAAGTTGGTGGATGGTCAGGGAAGGTTCCAAATAGAAACAACCTGAGAGATGTGGCATGTGGAATGGGAATGGGAACGTGAGAGAGGGCAAGAAGGTAGGGTGTCACGGTGAAAGGCAAAGGTGTTATGCAGAGGGATGACTGTAAAAAAAGTAGGGGAGAGAGGTCAGCTGTGTCCTGGGGCTTGGAGAACAGAGTGGGAGGAAGTGAGGCTGGAGAGGCAGGCAGGGCCAGAGCATGTCAGTGTGAATCTTGGACTTTGTCCTGGCCTCTAGCAGTGAGGCATTAATTAGGAAGTTGAGAGCAGAGCCAGAGCGGAATCACTGACTATCTTCCAGTTCACAGTGACACAGACCCTAGGCCTCTGGCTAACATTTTGAAGTTCATTACTATTAACATCCTTGTGCATCAGGAGAACTTCTGTCAAGCTCCAGCCTGGAAGCAGCTGCTGTCTGTATGCTAGAATCCCCCTCTGCTGAAGAGCTGGGTCTCACTCACATGGAACAGCTGCAGGAACCACGGCAGATGCTGCCCAGGGTGCCTGCCTCACCGAAGAAAAGCAGAGGGAGAGGAGCACGGCCGGCCAGCCTTGTGTCATTTACACTCTGCATCATTTATGGCGCCGGAAGGTTCCAGCGGCTCCTCTGGAAGTGCAACTCCACTTCTCAAGATCGTTCCATGTCCAAACAGTTACAAAGTGACAGAGGACACAGATGGGTTCCTTCAAACATACACGTGGCTTTTTTTTTTTTTAAGAAAAAAATTAAGTTTAAGGGATGTGGTGGAACAAAGCGGCGGAAGAAAAGCCCTGCTGCTATTGGAGCCACGGTCAACTTCTGCAACATGTGCCGGGCCCAGCAGGCGGGGCCGTGCAGCCACAGTTCCCGGCACGTAACCTGCAAGGGCATCCCGGCTCCCCGCGCTGTACGTGCTGATGGGAAGGGAGCTGTTCTTCCCCCCAAAACCACTTCAAAGGCCGGGAGCAGAGGATGGCCCTCCCAGGAAGGATGGCAGCTTGTGTGCACATGCTCAGGG